GGGGGGGGGTCATACTGAGAGATGATATTCCGGCTAAAGTTGACTTGCAGTGCTTCAATCTTCTTCTTTAATTGGTGGGTTTCCCGCTCTGCGGTGTCCGCTCTGTTGAGGGCGGCTCGGTGGCTCTGACTCACGGCCTGTACCTCGTTGCGTAGTCGCTCGCATTCATCGGAGAGCGCCCGATACTGTGTCTGTAGCACTAGGCGTTCGCTGGAAACAGTTTGGTGCAGTTCGGTCAAGTTAGCTAAGTCTCTTGTATCTTTGTCCTTGGTCAAAATCGTGGCTCTCATATCCGAATTCTCCTGCGTCAATCGCCGAATCTCCTCCTGGGCTACCAAAAGCCGTTCTCGCTCACATTGCAGCTCAGTCTCCACTTCATGGTGCCGTAGCGCATAGCTGGACTTGAGTTTCTCGTAATCATCGATCTCTGAGTCGTGCTTTTTTGCAACGCGCTCCGCCTCATCTGTCAGCTTCGCCACCAAGGCCTTCGAAGTCGCCAACTCCTGTTGCAGCCCGGCTAGCTCTTCGTTCAACATATTAATTCGGTTCTGATTTTGCTCATCGCGACACTTCAATTTGCGGATATTTTCCTTCAGATCTTCTGCAGTTTTGTCCTGCTGTAAAACCTTTTGTTCAAAGGCCTGCTGCTCTCCCCGAAGTTTGCCCTCTAATTCCATGATGTTCTGCTGCGCTTTATGCTGCCTCTGTTCCTGACGATCCATGTCGCGGTTCAGCTTCTCCACTTCGCTGCGCAAGTCCCGGTTCTGATTCTGCAATGTTTCCACGTCATGCAGAGCCCGTAGGTTGGCGTCTTCAAGCGCCTTGTTGATGCCCCGAAGCTCCACCATATCTCGCTCATATTTTTCCAGTTCCTCCTTATACGTTTCCTTGTCGCACACGCGTTTGTGGCGCAACTCGTCCATGTCGCGTTTCAGAGCATCGACGCTTCGCTTGTACTCGGACTCCATCTTGCGTTTCTCGTCATACAGGCGGAGCTGGATAGCGTGGTCCAGGTTTTTCTTGTCAGATCGCGTGGGAATTGGGTCGCTGCTTTCAGAAGTCCCGTCTCCGGAGTCCATTGTTGTAAAATGAGAGGACTTGCCCACCCCATGGGACCCCACCCCTTGGGGTCCCAGTCCGTGGGACCCCGCGGTATGTGGGTCAGCCGGTCGGGAGCGACTGGAATGGTCTTCAGGTCGCCAAAGTACTTCTCGGGACTGCTTGGTACTGCCGGTCCGGCTGACCGGTCTGCTGAGTTGCCTGCTGGGGGCTCGACTAGAGAGCCTGCTGGGTGGCCTGCTCAGCGATCGGGTCGGCTTGGTGATAAGGTCGTATACGAAGTCGCTACTGCCGGTGGTCTCTTGGCTCTGCGCCTTGAGGAAAGAGTCCCGGGTCACCTTGGCGTGGTCGCCGCGAGATACTCGCTTGACCTGCCCAACCGTGGACGTCATCAGCTCCTGCTCCATATAGTGGAGGTGGTTCTTAAGGTCATTGACATCCTTCATGCAGCCAAAAACGAATTTGCAGGCAACGCACCCAAATATCTAGCTCTCCGTCCCGCCGTCCACCTGCCGCTGACTAATCCACCCAGACCACGACCTACCACGTTCCCCAAATACGCTGCAAACGGAACCGGCATCAACCTCCCCTTCAGGTCGTAATGGCGCATCGAGTAGCCCGTTAAACCACCACCCACCAACGCTCCCAACAAGCCGAACGAACGACACACCATCTACAAAATCAACATGGAACCAACCGTGCTGGACTAACGGTGCTGGACTGGACCAACGGTGCTGGACGAACCGTGCTGGACCAACGGTGCTGGACCAACGGTGCTGGACCAGCGGACCAATGGTGCCGGAACAAATGTGTATGACCAACAGTGCAGGACAGCGGCACTGCCCACTTTGCGATGTATGTCCGTTCTGCGCGTCTCCAATGCCTCCTTCACGTCCGCTGGCGTGTCTGATCCGTACTGTTTGGTTAAGATCGCGCGCGTCTCGGCGCGCGATAGCTTAACAAAGTTGCGCCGGTACAATGGGAACGCTACACAAGAACCATCGGCAGACAACCTCGACACTGGGGAGGGGTGCGCAGGGGGATGATATACAGAGGAAGCATAGGGGTGGAGGAACTAGGAGGCGGGGCGGAGGGTCGTGGGGGCGGGCCGGCGTTATAACCGGGAAAGCAAGATTTTGGAGGGGGTCAGATTCGGTAGGTGGACGTACATAGCGATCCAACGCGATCAGTCAAGGTCAATTTACGAGGAGCGTCCGGCCTACAGTATTTATGCTCAGCCACGGATACATCTGATGGTACGACAATTCTGGAGGGAGCCATGACAAGTTAAGTCTATTTTTTTTTCACAACAAAAGAAGCCGCCATGAGTGAGTCTCTGACTGAGGACCAGATAGCTGAGTTCCGTGAAGCCTTCACTCTCTTTGACACTGATGGAGATGGCAGTAAGTAACACGAGGATGGAAGCGAGCGAAATGACACTGAACATCGAGCCTAGGCTGGCAGCATGAACACTGGTGATGAACACTGGTGATGAACACTGGTGATGAACACTGGTGATAAGCATCGAGAGCGCGAGAGACAGTCCCTTCTGGAAGAAGAGAGAGTCCCCTCTCGAGTGTCCCTCCTAATAAAGTGTCGTATGGGGATCGTCGCGCTTTTGGTGTGATCATGAATTGATGAGTTGTTTGCAGACATTAGTACAAAGGAGTTGGGCACGGTGATGCGGTCCGTGGGCCAGAACCCGACTGAGGCGGATCTGCAAGAAATGGTTGCAGAAGTTGATGAGAATCGGACAGGTGTGATACGTTTCAAAGACTTTCTCAATCTGATGGTGCGCAAAATGCGCGAGACCGATACAGAGGAGGAGCTGATTGAAGCGTTCCAGGTCTTTGACCGCGAAGGCAATGGTCTGATTACGGCCCAGGAACTGCGTCATGTCCTCACGCAGTTGGGCGAGAAACTGTCACCGGAAGAAGCCGACTTGATGATCTCCGAGGCTGATGTGGACGGCGACGGTCAAATAAACTATGAGGAATTTGTCAAGATGATGATGGCCAAATAAAATGCCCTGACCACCTGACAGTCTGCGAGCGTTTCTGATCCTTGACGAGCAGTCTGTTAGGTTAGACAATTATTTCCCGCCGTAGCAACAGATTGTGTTTTTTTAAGTGAGTCACCCACAGTCGACTCAACTCGAGAAGTCCGGATGGAACAGGCAAGGAGCGTTGGTGGAGTTGCAGAAGTTTTTGTGGCTCGTGATCCAGAGCGTTCCACAGGTCGCAACAATAGGCAGATATTTCGTCGACGTGTTGTGCGGTCAATGCAACACTGCGGAGTATGTCCTGTACAGATCTCGGCCCACTCTCCCATTCACTCAACAAACATTTCTCTGCTTCTAACTTGACCCCCATGGACTTCACCCCCATGGACTTGACCTCCATGGACTTCACCCCCATGGACTTCACCCCCATGGACTTCCCAAAAGAGTGTGTGTTGTCACCTGTGCCCACAATACTGGCCAGTTCGTGGACTGTGTTCTTGTTACTCATTATTATTTCGTCCAGACGCTGTTGTAAGACGTTCGTCGTTTCTGCTAAATTGACGGTCGTTCCGCTTTCAGTGCTCACACCTAGGTATCTTGGAGAGCCTTGTCGGCTGGGTGCCTCCTTGGGTCTTTGTCCACCGCCACGGCCTTCTCGATCGTGGTCGTGCTCACCAATCCTCAGGTCGCTCGGAGCACGAATTTTTATGGCGCGCTTTGTCAGCAGTTCGTGCAGAAACTTCTGGCGCGCAGAAGTTCCCATCGGAGAGCCACGGGGGTGGGGATCCATGGGGTAGTTTCCGTCATCTGCCTCCCTCGCGACGTGGTTGTTGGATAACGGTTCAGAGATCGTCGAGTGTTCAGATATCATCGAGCGTTGTTCGGAACTCGGACTCAAAATAGCAGCAGAATACCGAGGTGAGACAGGACTCAGCAGGGCTGCCGCACTACTCGCTGCCACACTGTTGACTGCGGCTTCATTGTGGGCTGTCCGGTGCGGGGAAACAGGGGTAAGACTCTCTGCGGCGGCGGCTGCCATGTACCTTTGGAACTCCGAAAATCGCTCGGAAATATCACGGTCCAAGGGGCTGGCATACTCAGCTATTTTTCCAGCCAGTCTGTCCGACCCTCGCTGAATCAAACCGACGTCATTAAACATACTACTCTGTGGTCGTCTCGGCTGTCCTTTGCTGTCATAATTCGCGACTTGCTTCTTTCGAGCACTCCATCCTAGATGACCAGGGTGAGAAGCATTGCGTAAACGGACATTTGGCAGCTTTTGATTGGCTTTGAAGCGGCGGTTCGCGCCCTGGGGAGTGCGCGGGTGCCTCTCCCCCTCACCGGTGCGCCTCTCCCCCTCACCGGTGCGCCTCTCCCCCTCGCCGGTGCGCCTCTCCCCCTCGCCGGTGCGCCGCTTCCCCTCATCATTGTTCAACATTCCGCAAAATCGTTCCACAATCTGCTCCCAGTTTTCCGCTGGGCTGTCATCGCTCACTCCGTGACGGACTCCTGGATCTAGCTTTTTAGGACTCAGTCTTTGGCCTCCTGGACTTAGCCCTTGACCATCTGGACTTGGTCGTCGACTTCCAGGACTCGGCCTTTCCCTTCCAGGGTCCAGTGGCCGTGCTGGGTTCTGTTTGGCCGTCTTGCTCCGGCCTGGTTTACGGGAAGACCACACAGTCGGCGCCGTTCCCTCATACTCGCTGTCATGAATGTACTCAGCGGAAGTCTACAAAATACGTGGGGCAGTTGGCAGAAGCCTCGAGATACCTACCACGATCGCTCCGTCGGGCTGGTATATCTTCTCCCGGATGTGGGGCATAGTGTGTGCGAGTGCACCAAAGGGGCCGAGCACTCAGATGCCAGAACCTAAGTGGCAGAACTCGAGCTGCAGAACCGGGTTGTAGAGCCCGGGTTGTAGAACCCGGGTTGTAGAACACTAGTAACATCTGGTAGAGCCCAGGTGGCAGAGCGTTAGAACATTGGACAGGGTCCGTCGAACCCGCAGGCGACGCGGTCAGCTCTGCTGCCGCGGTTGAAGTAGTGGCCGACAATGCCGGCGCCGACCAGCGAGTAGACCACGGCCAGCAAGGAGCCGAGTGCGGCTCCCTTGAAAGCCCACTTACCGCGAGGCCCGTCGGCAGCGTCCTTGTGTCCTCGGATGTAAGCGATCCACCCAAAGGGCGGGAAGATTACCGCGAGGAAGACCCACGGCACGAGGTCATTGACCCGCGACTGTTCCCCACTCGACTGTTCATCCAGCAAGTATTCTCCCGGAGGGGGGTGTTCTTCCCTAGTTTGTTCGACCCCAGTCTGTGTTACACACGGGTGTGCTGGAGCCCTCCCGGTCGGAGACCCCGACTGTTCGGGTAGAGACCGGGCCGGGGACGGCTGAGTCGGCGACGCAACGTACACCGGCAAGCCTTCGGGCGGCGGCTGTTGCGTCGGTCGCCGGTCAAGCACGCTCGGCGCCGGCCGCCCCTCTGGCAGAGCCACTCCAGCATCCTCCTCAGGAGCTCTCGTGATTCCGATGTTAGGGCAAATGCCAGCCGGCTCCCGAACTGCCCCACCAACGTACTGCGGACCACTTTCGGGACTGTTCATAATTTTCGTAACCAATCAGGAGAGATGCGCCAAACCGAGAGCGATCTTACTGGGCGAACGCGTTACTCACAACGCGCAGCACCAGTCAAATAGAGAATTGTTATGTGAAGCGCTACGACCTAAACAAAAACCTGGTTATCGAAGGTTGACCTATCCAAGGCTTTTCATAATACACTGGAATGTGGACCGCCGTGGTCCACATTCCAATCACCCAGCGCCTCAGATCCGCAGTTGCCAAACCCGCAGTTGCCAAAAAGTGTTTTGTCGTGTAACCTGTGAGCACTAGCTATGCGTCCTAGAGTGTGTGCCATTCTGGTGTCGTTTTCCTCCTGGCCTGTTTAACCTGGCCTGTTTAACCAGTCCAACACCAGGAGGCATCAGGTTCCTGACATCAGACGTGTTCCAGAAAAAGGTGCAGGTAAAAAAGTTCACGAGAGGATAGAAGCAGAACCTTGACACTACTAACCCAATGGCCTAGGAAATGTGTCCCACCACCGGCCGGCTCCACTACCAGGGCTTTGTATACTTCTCAAATCCGCGCAGTTTTGACTCGGTTAGGCGCGAATTTGGAGGACTTACGCACGTGGAAATCTGCCATGACATTACGGCATCAATTGCATATTGTACCAAGGAAGAAACACGTGTCGGTACGCCCGTGGAAGACGGACAAAAACCGGAATGCGCACGACCGGTGGCAACAATTAAGTATCGCGACGCTCTGGGAGGAAGAACCGGAATGGATGCTCAAACACCACTCCGCAGTCAGTGCATACCATAAACAATTTAAAAAAGTCACATTCGTACGCCCCAAACCCCAGGTGATAGTACTATGGGGACCCCCAGGTACGGGAAAATCACATACAGCAAGATCCATCTGCGACAATTACTATGTCAAACCCACCGGAAACTGGTGGGACGGCTACTTCGGTCAAGACCTAGTGATATTCGACGATTTCTATGGTACTGAAAAGTACTGTGACATGCTCAGATGGTTAAGTGAAAACCCAATCAAAGTGAAAACCTTTGGTTGGCTCACCACCTGTGGACGTCGTCCCGTCCGTGGAGATGGTCCCACTTGTGGATGTCGGCATCCCACCGGTGGGTGTCGTTGCGCCAGTTGAGGTTACCCCGGTCGGGACTATCCCGGTCGGGGTCGCCTCTGCTCTGGACAGCGGCATCCCACGTGCGGATGTCGTTGCCCCGGTTGAGGACTGCCCCGCTGCGGAGCTGGCTACCCCCGCTGGACGCACCCCCGCTGTGGCCGAAGTCGTCCAGGCGGTCCGCCGAGCGCAGATCGTGGCCCAGGCCAATGCGGAATTGGAGCGTTTGACGAGCAGCAAGTGCCCCACTGGCTTGAGCGCTATAGCAGCGGTCAAGCTGGGGGCCAAAACTGCTGCTCTGAAGCGGTCCATAGCTGTCAACACGACTCCGGGACTCAGGACCTCCTCCAGGCGAGTGACTTTGCCGCAGCCGACCACTACATCGCCGATTACCGACTC